AATGGGGCAACAGGGGTTGATAGTTGAAGGGTATGACTTTTTTTTTTTTGAGACGGAGTATCGGTCACCCAGGTTGGAGTACAGTGGCACAATCTCAGCTTACCGCAACCTCTGCCTCCCAGATTCAAGTGATTCTCGTGTCTCAATTTCCTGAGTAGCTGGGATTACAGGTGTGCGCCACCACGCCCAGATAACTTTTGTAATTTTTAGTAGAGATAGGGTTTCACCATGTTGGCTAGGTTGGTCCTGACCTTGTGATCCACCCGCCTCGGACTCCCGAAATGCCAGGATTACAGGTGTGAGCCACCGCGCTCAGTCATTTCTTTTATTTTTTTGGAGATGGAGTCTTGCTCTGTTGCCCAGGCTGGAGTGCAATGGTGCAATCTCAGCTCATTGCAACCTCCGCCTCCCGGGTTTAAGCAATTCTCCTATCTCAGCCTCCCAAGTAGCTGGGACTACAGGCACACGTGGCCACGCCCAGCTAAGCTAATTTTTTGTATTTTAGTAGAGTCGGGGTTTCGTTGTGTTGCCCAGGCTGGTCTTGAACTCCTGAGCTCGGGCAATCTGCCCGCCTTGGCCTCCCAAAGTGCTAGGATTACAGGCATGAGCCATCGTGCCTGGCCAACATTTCTTTTCGAGATAATGAAATGTCCTAAAATCGACTGTGGTGATGGTTGCACTTAAGCTGTGACTATACTAAAAAACCAATTGTACACTTTAAAAGGGTGAATTGTATGATATGTTAATTATATCTCAATAAAGCCATATAAAAATAAAACTATAAATTGAAGATGTAGGTCATCATATCTACGTTAGAATGAAAGTGACCTTTCCAAAAACATGACACCAATGTTAGAAACCATGTAAGAAATATTTCACGTGAAACATATCCTTTATGTTCTGTTCTATTTAACATACATATTAGGGTTTGTCTTTTCTAATTTACTAATCTTTGTCTTTTAATTGGAGAACTTAATCCTTTAAAATATATTGTAATTACAGAAAATTTGTGCTTACAAAGTAAAATAGGCTATTAGAAGATAATATCAGAATTGATTGGGCACAGTTGCTCATGCCTGTAATTCCAGAGCGTTGGGTGCTCAAGGTAGAAGGATTAGTTGAGGCCAGAAGTTTGAGACCAGCCTGGGCAACATAACAAGACCCCATCTCTACAGAAAATTTTAAAATTGGCCAGGCATGGTGGTGCATGTCTGTAGTCCCAGCTACTTGGGAGGCTGAGGCAAAAGGATCACTTGAGCCCAAGAGTTTGAGGCTGCAATGAGCTATGACTGTGCTACTGCACAGCCTTGGTGACACAGTGAGACACTGTCTCTAAATAAATAAATAGATACATTTTTTAAAAAGATGGTATCAGAAAATATAATCTTGAGCTAGGAAATGCTTTCTTTTTTCTTTTCTTTTTTCTTTTCTTTTCTTGCTCTTGTTGCCCAGGCTGGAGTGCAGTGGCACAATCTTGGCTTACTGCAATCCCTGCCTCCTGGGTTCAAGCAATTCTCCTGCCTCAGCCTCCCAAGTAGCTGGGATTACAGGCATGTGTCACTATGCCCAGCTAATTTTGTATTTTTAGTAGAGATGGGGTTGCATCATGTTGGTCAGGCTGGTCTCGAATTCCTGACCTCAGGTGATCCACCCACCTTGGCCTCCCAAGGTGCTGGGATTACTGGTGTGACCAGCCTCCGGAAACTGGTGCCTCCCCCCCCAGACACTACAGGAAAAAGTCATGTGACCGATTTCGTGATCCGCCCGTCTCGGCCTCCAAGTGCTGGGATTACAGGCTTGAGCCACCGCGCCCGGCCTGGAAATGGTTTCTTAAACAAGATACAGAAAGCACTAAACATAAAGAAAAAGATCAATGTGACTATGTTTCATTCTATAAAATCTTTAATAATTACAAACATTTACTGAGAGTTTACTATGTGTATCAAGTTAAGGACTTTACATACCTCATACCATTTAATCTTCACAAGAACCTATGATGAGTCAATACTATTATTTTCCTGTTTCACAGATGATGCTTAAGGAGGTTAAGTATTTCACCTGAAGTCACATAGCAACTATGCCAGGGTTGAAATTTGGGTCTATCTGATTCCAAGTCCAAACTCATAATCACTACCCTAGAGGCCATGCCAGTTTTGGGGGAAAAGTTCTTCAACTCTTCAGTCTCTAAAACCAGCAGCTTTCTCCTCTTTTATTTTATTTTTTTAAACCAGTATCTTACATTCAATGTTTCCATTTTTTCATCATCTACTTGCCATCCCTTCTGCCATACCCTTTATGAGAATTCCCAATCTGGGTTGTTACTCACTCACTCCTGATCTCCTTGCAACCTAGCTTCAAGCTCCAGTAATAATGATATCCTAATCAGATAAGGAAATGTAGGAAACTCTAATTAAAATGGCCTTTTCTCAGTCTTCATTTCTACTGACCTTTTGTACCTCCTCCTTCTTTAAATGTGATTCTCCTTAATTTGTCAGTCATACTTTTAATTTCTCATTCAACAAATAAGTAGTTGGCATCAACTTTGTGCAAGCATTGTGCCCAGTCCTGGGAAACAAATGTCAAAAGACACAGTCTCAACCATCAATGAGCTTGTTTAGATTGAAGATAATTAGGCAACTGACAAATAATAAGCAGAATGGAGACATTTTGTGTGTGTGTATTGCAGTATATTTTAGTGGTTAAGTCTATGTTGGAGTCAGATAGACAAAAGTTTGAGATCTGAATTTGCCACTTGTTATGTTAGTCGCATAAGCATGAACAAGTTACTCAAAGTACTTTAAGAATTAAGTCAATCATTATAAATTATTTCCTGTTTACTTTAGAAAAGCAGGATGCTATTGGTGTTTGTGAGAGACTAAACAATGTAATATAGACCCCGTTATGCAAGTTAGAAGAGTGCCTGAATTTAAATAGTTTATTAAAATTATAATAATTAAACGCAAACTCTATTTTATTGCTACCAAAAAAAGTTCTTCAGGTACATTTAACATAGCCTTCTACTGCTGGACTACATTATAAAATCAATATATAAATTACATTGACACAATGTCAAAGGAAAAAGCTTGCCTTTTGAGGTTAGAAGTACACTCTGATGTCCTAACTTGGATAATTCTAGGTGTATCCTATAGATAGGATATTGAGTAACCATACTAGACTATGGAAAAGAGATACACAGACAAACTGTAAACATTTAATAAATTGGACCATACACCAAAATTGGTAAATTTCCCCAAGACTGACTCTTGCTCTGTTGCCCAGGCTGGAGTGCAGTGGTGCAATCTCGGCTCATTGCAACCTCCTCCTCCCAGGTTCAAGCGATCCTCTAGAAAGGCAAGAATGTATTTCATTTATTTGTTCTTACTAATGGGTGAAAACTCTAAAGATACCAGATTGCAAATCCAGTCTATTACTAAACTGCTGATGCTGGAAACAAGCCAATTAGGCAGACTTGGGGGACTCTTTAGTTGAAATGACCATTATCCCAAAAATGTATTTTATTTAATATATATGTATATACTATGTGCTCAAGTGTATAATAAGCAATTCAATTTGGAGGGCAAGGGTAGGATTTTTAAAGTTTGACACATGCAGAAATTTTACATTTAAATTTTGGTGTCTTCTGACATCAACTAAAGTAATAACCATGTTAAATTATCTATTTATATTCATATATTTATATATAGATATAGTGTAGAACATATTATCTATTCTATATCTATGTATGTATCTACCTATATCGATATATTGTATATGTATATATGTGTATATGTTAAATAAAATTATGTTATTAAAATGTTAGTAAAGTTACATGTTATTTAAAACATGTTAAATGAAATAAGAGGAGGTAACAACCTATGGCCTCCTGTGTTTTCTCGGTTTCCTATAAAATGAGAACTACAATAGCCTCTCGTCAGGGAAATTAAATAATAGATTTAAAGTGTTCCGCATGGTGCCTATAAGTTAGCTAACTTCTAAGTATTTATAAAATGTCCACCATTTTTGCCTCTTGGGCTAACCTTAAAAAAGAAGTTGACGTGTACCAAGCAGAGAAAGAAGGAAGTCATTCCAGGAGGGAGAATGCTGCACACGAAGCTATGGTGGTAAGAGAATATGGCCTGTGGAACAAATTCAGTGGTTGAACTGAAGATAATAAGACTGACTAAAAGCAGGAACACTATTTAAAGGGCCAAAATAAGAGGTGAGAAACTCCTGGATTAGAATAGTAGCCAAGGAGAAGAAGGGATAGATAAAAGAGCTATCTAGGATGTATAGCTGATAGGAACTAAGGGATGATTACATGGAGATGAAGAAGAGAGCAACAGATATGCCAGGTTTCTAACGTGGTTTACTGGATGTATGCTGGTGACATTCAATCGCAGAGCCACACACATATTTTAGAGGAAGAAGCTGAAGCATTTGTTTTTTGTTTTTTGGTTTTTTTTTGAGACAGAGTCTCACTCTGTCACCTAGGCTGGAGTGCAGTGGCTCAATCTCGGCTTGCTGCAACTTCTGCCCACCTCCCACCCCCCGAGTAGCTGGGATTACAGGCATGCGCCACCACACCCGGCTAATTTTTTGTATTTTTAGTAGAGATGGGGCCATGTTGGCTAGGCTGGTCTCAAACTCCTGGCCTCAAGTGATCTGCCTGCCTCGGCCTCCCAAAGTGCTGAGATTACAGGCATGAGGCACAGTGCCCGGCCAGAAGCATTTGGTTTTAAACATAAACATTTGGTTTTAAATGTAAGGCATCTCGGTAAAATCATCTACAATTTAATGGACATAACACAGAGAATTCAGAAGTCAACATTCTTTTTAGAGTACCTGATAAATATATAATTATGTTCTTATAGAATCACACTGGCAATGACAAAGGGATATTAATCAAGACTTAAAGATAGCAGAGTTTCATGAATAACTTGGAAAGTATAAAGTAATTCAAATTGGAATGAAGTACATTAAAAACACACTTTCATCAATACCTCAGCTGCTCTGCCGTTGTAAAGGCGAAAATGATTACAGGCTTTAAGATTGAGTGCGATGGTACTATCAGGAATTTGCTGAAGGTAAACAGCCAAAACTTCTTGAGACACATCATAGTAATCCAACTTATAGTAGCAGAGGGCCACGTAAACATTGAGGGCAAGGTATTCCCTATTAGATGAAATAATTAGGGTTAACCATTTAAGTCTACTTCACAGAAATGTCAAATTACAAAGCTCAAATAGACAAGGCAAAGAGGACAGTTCATGAATCTGCCTTAGGAAGAAAGAGGGTAAGATATAATCAGTATAATTATTTTCTTTTTGCATTGCAATATTCGGGTGTTTCGATATAAGTAGAGTGAAGGATGACAACTAGAGAAGAAAGGGAAAGTTCATGCTGTTCATATTGAAAAACTAATATATGTGATAATTGAACATAAACACAAGTACACTCCACACAGAAGACCAACAGACAAGACACGTAGGCTTGATGGCTGGAAATGGAAGCAGGTAGGAGGTAATGCAAAAGAGGATGGAAGGAAGGGGGATGAGATATTTTTGGGAAGGGAGAGAGAGGCCAAGTGTTTAGTGATAAAGTTGGAATGTAAATTCTTTTTTTTTTTTTTTTTTTTTTTTTTTGAGACGGAGTCTCGCTCTGTCGCCCAGGCTGGAGTGCAGTGGCCGGGTCTCAGCTCACTGCAAGCTCCGCCTCCCGGGTTCACGCCATTCTCCTGCCTCAGCCTCCGGAGTAGCTGGGACTACAGGCGCCCGCCACCTCGCCCGGCTAGTTTTTTGTATTTTTAGTAGAGACGGGGCTTCACCATGTTAGCCAGGATGGTCTCGATCTCCTGACCTTGTGATCCGCCCGTCTCGGCCTCCCAAAGTGCTGGGATTACAGGCTTGAGCCACCGCGCCCGGAATGTAAATTCTTAAGAATGGTTTGGGGCCGGGCGCGGTGGCTCAAGCCTGTAATCCCAGCACTTTGGGAGGCCGAGACGGGCGGATCACGAGGTCAGGAGATCGAGACCATCCTGGCTAACATGGTGAAACCCCGTCTCCACTAAAAAATACAAAAAAAAAACTAGCCGGGCGAGGTGGCGGGCACCTGTAGTCCCAGCTACTCGGGAGGCTGAGGCAGGAGAATGGCGTAAACCCGGGAGGCGGAGCTTGCAGTGAGCTGAGATCCAGCCACTGCACTCCAGCCTGGGCGACAGAGTGACAGAGTGAGACTCCGTCTCAAAAAAAAAAATGGTTTGTATCTAATTTTGTCAGCAAGTTACCTACAATGTAACTATAACACTAAGTCTGATACATCTAGACCATACATTTCAACAGGGGTAATATCAATATCACCCCCAAAGGGGAAAAATTGGTTCTTATCAGAGGATGAAAAAATCATATTCATTTAATATGTAAAGCACTGTTATACATATAGTACATACATGGATATATATTAATATACATATATCAGTATATTAAAATTTCATGGGAGGGCAGTTGGGGGAAGAGTCTTTTAGAAGGGTGACAATGCAAAAAAAGGTAGAGAAAGCCTGATTTAGACAATATCTAATTCTTAATCTCACCAAATTATCAACTAAACAGATTTGAACGCATGGTGGTACTAGATCCAGAGGACACTAGATTCTCAAACTAGTTACAGAAGAAACTAAAAAAAATGAAAAAAATGTAGAGTAGGCATAAAAGGACACAGACCTGTTATCTAGCAGTATTCGCTTATATATATCAATAGCTTCTTGGTAGTGAGATCGCATATAGTGGATTGAGGCCAAACTGAGTTGATCTTCTGTGACATCCTGAAGATTTTGATGAAAGCTCATCAATTTTTTCTCATCATTAAACTAAAATTGTGAGAGTGGAAAAGACATGTAAAGATTCACATTAGTGTTGCTAGAGAAATCAATATCTAAGTGATAGAGATTTTAACTCTTCTTTAGCCATTGTGTCTCTCTCTTCTTCCTATTTCCCTTAGGTTCCTTGTCTTCTATTTCATTTCCTCTGCAAAGAAAGAATGCAAATAGCCTTGGGAGGCATAGCTTGACAACCACAGTGGAAAGCCCTTAGGTTACAGTTAATATTATTTGACCCCTCCCCTTATCTTTTCTTTATATTTTCTCCCTTTCCTTTTATTTTCTGTCTAGTCTCTTTACTAATACCTGGTAACATTTTTAATCTGTTCTTTCTTTCTTTTTTTTTTTTTTTTTGAGATGGATTCTTGCCCTGTCCCCCAGGCTGGAGTACAATGGCACAATCTCGGCTCACTGAAACCTCTGCCTCCTGGGTTCAAGCAATTCTCCAGCCTCAGCCTCCCAAGTCCCTGGGATTACAGGTGCATGCCACCACGCCTGGCTAAGTTTTTGTATCTTTAATACAGATGGGGTTTCACCATGTTGGCCAGGCTAGTCTTGAACTCCTGACCTTGTGATCGACCCGCCTTGGCCTCCCAAAGTGCTGGGATTACAGGCATGAGCCACTGTGCCCAGCCAATCTGTTCTTTCATATCTCATTCTACTTGGTAGACAATAGGGAATCAAAATGTACTTCTCATCATGTAACTTAGTGAATTCAATTTTTAATTTCCTGCTCAACATTTTTTCATCCTTTCTTCAGTTACCATACATTGTTGTTGTTTGAGATTGTCAGAATTCTAACCTTGTAATGCTTATTTTGTTAGATGGCTGCTGCAAATATTAGTTGCCTTTTGCTTATATATGGGGCAGAACAGATATATTTTTGACAGTGACCCTTAATGTGTAGATTGCTCACTGCCTGATACAGAGAATGACTTATTAGCTTAAAAATTTTGTAAAGAATTGTCTTCTGTAGACTATCTAGTTACATGGAAAAATGTTTATGATACACTTTTAAGTGAAAAGCCTGGTTATAAAACAATATATACTATGATCCAAATTTGGCAATATAAATATACATATATATACACACACATAAAAATACAAATTTTTTATAGACTGGAAGAAAAGAGAGTAAAATATTACAGTGTTAGCTTTAAGTGGCAGTCTTACAGGAAATCTTGATTTTTGTGTGTATTTTGTTATTTCCTAAAAGTACTATGATAAACATGTATTATTTTTGTAATCAGAAGAAAAACACAGTAAAATATATTTCTTTAAATTCAATCAAAGACTTTCACTACTAAATAATATTAGAGAAGCTTGTAGTAGGCAGTGCTCCCACCAAGAACATCTAGAAAATCTTAAAAACTACTGAAAAATCTATGTAAGAGGGGCCGGGGCAGTGGCTCACGCCTGTAATCCCAGCACTCGGAGAGGCTGAGGCGAGCAGATCACTTGAGCTCAGGTATGTGAGACCAGCCTGGGCAACATGGTGAAACCCTGTCTCTACAAAAATTCGCTGGGCATGGTGGTGCACACTTGTAATCTCAATTACTTGGAAGGCTGAGGCACAAGGATTGCTCGAGCCTGGGAGGCAGAGGTTATAGTAAGCTGAGATGGCGCCATTGCACTCCAGCCTGGGTGACTGGGAGTGAAATCTTGTCTCAAAAAAACAACAACAGGCCGGGCGCGGTGGCTCAAGCCTGTAATCCCAGCACTTTGGGAGGCCGAGACGGGCGGATCATGAGGTCAGGAGATCGAGACCATCCTGGCGAACACGGTGAAACCCCGTCTCTACTAAAAAATACAAAAAAACTAGCCGGGCGAGGTGGTGGGCGCCTGTAGTCCCAGCTACTCGGGAGGCTGAGGCAGGAGAATGGCGTAAACCCGGAGGGCGGAGCTTGCAGTGAGCTGAGATCCGGCCACTGCACTCCAGCCTGGGCGACAGAGCCAGACTCCATCTCAAAAAAAAAAAAAAAAAAAAACAACAACAACAACAAAAAAATCTGTGTGAAGGGTTCATAGAGCTACCAAGTGAGTGAAGACTTCAGATACCAAGATCCCAAGCAGAACAAAAGTGCAAAGAGTGATTCTGATATTTAGTACCATTTTTCTCTAATGGTACCTACCAATTCTCAATTGGTGACTGAGTTGCTCAAAACTAAGCAGAGCTTCAAGAAGTCTTATAGGCTTAATGGACAAAAAAAAAATAGAGATTGGAGCCCACCAGGTTATCAGTTGGGACCCCTGGAAAGCTACCCTAGAAACAGAGGTAAAATAGAAATAGACCAGCTTTAAATCGTTGTAATCTCTGACAGGTATCAGTTGATTTGCCCCTTTTCTATGTGCTTGCCAGAAGTAAAAGTAAATTCTAAATCCTTTCTGGAAGAAGACAAAATCATCCAGATACTCAAATTATCTCTATATATTTTAATATACAATAGCCAGCATTAAACACAATATTGCCAAGCAAACCAGGAGATAAGAACATTTGACTGAAAACCAAGAAACAGCTGTCCAGAGATACACTATAGGAATTACTAGACATGGATTTTAAAAATAACTGTTATTAATATGTTTAAGAAATTAAATTAAAAATTAGGAAATTTTAACTGGAAATTAGAAATTTAAAAAGTAATAAAATGTGATTTCTAAAAATAAGACAATAACTGGAATTAAGAATGAAATAGATAAATAGAATAGTTGATTAGACAGCTGAAGAATGATGATTAGTAAAATAAATTTCTGCAGGAAATATATAGAAAATGTGACAAAGTGTTTACATGTGATACAAATTAAAGGTCTACATACCTACATGTTACTGGGAGCCTAAAAGGAAAGAAGAGTATAGAGTAGAAGCAAAATTTGAAGTAATAATGACCAAGGATTTTTTTTAATTAAAAAAAGAAAAAACCTCGAGCAAGCGCTATGAACCTGATGTAGTGTAATACAAAGAAAACCATATCTGGGAATATTATAGGAAAAGTGCCAGTAACAAAAACCAACGTATACATCTTAAACATGATCAGAAAAAAACATCTTCACAGGAGCAGCAATAAGACTGATGGCTAACGTCTCAGTAGAGACAAGGTCCTAGGAAGCAATAAAGCAACATCTTCAAAATGCTAAGCAAAAATAATTACCTACCTAGAACTCTACACTGAGAAAAAAAATGCTTTAAAAAAGACAGTCAAATAAAAATGTGTTTAGACAAAAACTGAGAGAATTCATCACCACTAAAGGAAATATTAAAGGAAATTCCTCAAATAGAAAATGATTTTAGATAGGAGCACAAACATGCAAGAAGAAATGAAGAGCAATGGAAAGGATAAATATGGCTAAGTATAAATGAATATTTACTGCATAAAACAGTAATAAAACAGTCTTATGGGATTAGAAACATATAGACACTTAAAATATATTTCAAATTTGTACATAAGATGGAGAGTAAATGAGTTTAAATGATCTAAGGTCCTTTAATTTTCTAGAAATTGGTAAAAGTACTAATTAATATCAAACTTTTTAGTATGCAAAAGACACATGGTAACTGCTAAAATAATGTTAAGAATGTGACAGAGCGAGACTCCGTCTCAAAAAAAAAAAAAAAAAAAAAAGAACGTATATAACTGGCAAGCCAATTGAGGAGAAATATATAGTTTTAAAAATCAATCCAAAAAAAGACAAGAAAGGAGAGAAAAAGGAACACAGACCACGTCGACCAGCTGGGCAAACAGAGAACTAATAACAGAATGGTAGTTACGAAGCTAACCGTATTTGTAAATACATTAAGTAAATGGATTATATACTGAGGTTTTTTTTAAATAAAGATTTTAACTGGATTTTGAAACCCACAAAACTCATTTATATGCTGTTTATAAGAGTCACCTTAAATTTAAGGACATGGAAAGGTAGAAAGTAAAAGAATAGATGAGAGATATAATAGGCAAATGCTACCAAAAGAGCTAGTATAGCTTACAAATATGACAAAGAGAAATCTTTTAGAGATGAGAGCTATTTCATGATAATATATGTTTCAGTCTACTAGGAAGACACTATTGCTAGACAGTCTACTAGCAATTCTAAGTTTGTGTGCACTTAATGACAGTCTGAAAAACATGTAAAGCAAAACTAAAAAGAGAAAGAGACAAAGTGACAATTGTGATGTGGAATTTCTAAATGTACCAAAAATAATTATTTTCATATAATGCCTGTGGATGATTAAACTTTCTGTAAAACAACTTAGCAATAAAGGCCGGGCGCGGTGGCTCAAGCCTGTAATCCCAGGACTTTGGGAGGCCGAGATGGGCAGATCACGAGGTCAGGAGATCGAGACCATCCTGGCTAACACGGTGAAACCCCGTCTCTACTAAGAAATACAAAAAATAGCCAGGCGAGGTGGCAGCGCCTGTAGTCCCAGCTACTCGGGAGGCTGAGGCCGGAGAATGGCGTGAACCCGGGAGGCGGAGCTTGCAGTGAGCTGAGATCCGGCCACTGCACTCCAGCCTGGGCTACAGAGCGAGACTCCGTCTCAAAAAAAAAAAAAAAAAACTTAGCAATATCAATTAAAAGTTTTAAAGTTGCTCATACCCAATAGGTATGTCCATTTCTGGGATGTTCAGAATGACATTTTTATAAATTTTTAAAATTATAAATAATCTAAAAGTCAAATAACTAGGAAACAGTGAATAAATAAAGGCACATATGATGCATTTGGTGGAATGCTATAAAACAATTTTTTAAATAAATTAAACAATTATTTAAAATTTAAAATTTGAAAAAATATTATTTAAAAAATTATTTTATCATTATCAAAATCATTACCATACAGCAATTCTGAAAAGTGTATATTTATTTCTAGGAGTCAGGACAAGGTGACTCTGAGTCTGTTTCCTAAGAGATAATAGGATAGTTGACACAAATTAAACTTCTTTTTTATTCTGAGACAGAGTCTCACTCTGTTGCCCAGGCTGGAGTGCAGTGACACGATCTAGGCTCACTGCAACCCCTGCCTCCTGGGTTCAGCTGATTCTCCTGCCTCAGACTCCTCAGTAGCTGGTATTAAAGGAGTGCACCACCAAGCCCGACTAATTTTTTTTGTATTTTTAGTAGACTCACAGTTTCACCATGTTGGCCAAGCTGGTCTCGAACTCCTGACTTCAGGTGATCCACCCACTTCAGCCTCCCAAAGTGCTGGGATTACAGGCGTGAGCGACCATGCCCAGTCTAAACTTCTTATATGACTGTTGCTTAAGGAGAAATAAAACCTAACATCTCTGAATAAATTCAGAGGGTAAAAAACATTGATAGAGGAGAATATCCTATACAATTAACAGTTATATTCCACTTGTTCTAGAAAACTATTAACAAGAATTTCTAATTAATTATCTCTCACGAGTGTTAGTAACAAGAAGGAAGAAAAATAAAAATATTTTTAAAACAAAAAAAATGTGAAATGAGAACATAAATACCTTGTGAGCCAAGTGGAAGAGGAGGCGGTTTTGGAGTCGGCTTTTTGAAGCTGAAAAAAAAATCCAAGCTGCTTATTAAAGAATTCAATAGTCTAGCAGTCCCTTGTAGGAATGAAATGAGACTCGGATGAATCTTCCCAAATCCTTATTTATCTGATCCTAATATATCTCTGCTGGAATACATACTGTTGGCCGGGCGCGGTGGCTCACGCCTGTAATCCCAGAACTGTGGGAGGCAGAGGCGGTCGGATCATGAGGCCAGGAAATCGAGACCATCCTGGCTAACACGGTGAAACCCCATCTCTACTAAAAAATACAAAAAACTAGCCAGGCGTGGTGCGGGGCGCCTGTAGTCCCAGCTGCTCGGGAGGCTGAGGCAGAAGAATGGCGTGAACCCAGGAGGCGGAGCTTGCAGTGAGCCGAGATCACGCCACTGCACTCCAGCCTGGGCAACAGAGTGAGACTCCATCTCAAAAAAAAAAAAAAAAAAAGAATACATATTGTTTGAGTCTGGTCTCCACCTGCAGTAGCAGAAACAGCATCAAGAACTAGAAGAGAAATGTGCTAAGATTCTTCTCTTCTCCACTGGTTGTTCTACCTGATCCTATTACAGTGATCCACAACACAACACTCCACATGCATGGTTATAGTAACAGCCCACCTCTGTGTTCATATACCAAACCAAACAGTGGTAATAGACCCCCATGGTCATCTCAATGTGTGCATGAATCCACTCTCATTCACCTCTTAGTCCCGGTATTCTTTGTTATTTCCTTCTGATATCTCCTTTTCCACAATTATACTGCCATATTTTCCTAAATACTAGCCCAGTCTCTATTCTACAGATTTTCTAGCATAATTATGTGCCATACTGAAACAGGCAGTCAAGCAAAAATGTTAACGGCTTTTAAGTTCCAAATCTCCTTTGCACTCTTGGAAAACTTTCTGATTCTGGATACCCGATTCTATCTCTTTTACAGAAAAAGTCATGCTTCAATGTATAAGAAAGAAAAAAAGAAAAAATTATATGGAAATAGAGATAGCTACCATGATCACCTTATATGTGTCTAACACTGTTCTTAGCACAGATAAAGCCTAGAAATATGAGATTAAGTAAGTAACATAAAGGACCTAATAACTAAATTAGGAAAAACTACATTGGTACATATGAAATAATTTGGGTACAAATCAAGAAAGGCTTTGCTGGGCATGGTGGCGGGCATTGTCTGCAGTCTCAGCTACTCAGGAGGCTGGGGCTGGAGGATGGCTTGAACCCAGGAGTTTGAAGCTATAGCATGCTATGTGCACACCTATGAATAGCCACTGTACTCCAGCTTGGGCAACATAGTGAGACCATGTCTTTAAAAAAAAAAAAGGGAGGGCGAAGGATAGCATTAGGAGATATACCTAATGTAAATGACGAGTTAATGGGTGCAGCACACCAACATGGCACATGTATACATATGTAACAAACCTGCACGTTCTGCACATGTACCCTAGAACTTAAAGTATTTAAAAAAAAAAAGTCTTCAAGTTCCATGTCTGCCATGAATTTGGGCTAAAATTCTTTGTATGTATAAATTAATTCTACCTCGAATACATTCTTCCCTATCAGACATTACAGTGCCCACTTTCTCTGCATTTCCTTGAACTTAATTTGGTTCATCCTTTAATTAACTTTTTTTTTTTTTTTGAGATGGAGTTTCACTCTTGTTGCCCAGGCTGGAGTGCAATGGCTCGATCTTGGCTCACTGCAACCTCTGCCTCCCGGGTTCAAGCGATTCTCCTGCCTCAGCCTCCCGAGTAGCTGGGATTACAGGCATGCGTCACCACACCTGGTTAATTTTGTATTTTTAGTAGAGATGGGGTTTCTCCATGTTGGTCAGGCTGGTCTCGAACTCCCGACCTCAGGTGATCTGCCCGCCTTGGCCTCCCAAAGTGCTGGGATTACAGGCGTAAGCCACTGCGCCCAGCCATCTTTAACTTTTTCTACCATGCTTCCCTTTTATTCTTATTTTCAAATTTGAGTACAATTGTCCTGAGATGAATATCGTATGTAAGAAAGCAGAAGGGATGATTTCTGGATTCTTCAAACTGAAATTTCTGGGTTTCTCACTTAGAAACAGGAAAAGCAGGGCCGTGCGCGGTGGCTCAAGCCTGTAATCCCAGCACTTTGGGAGACCGAGACAGGTGGATCACAAGGTCAGGAGATCGAGACCATCCTGGCTAACATGGTGAAACCCCGTCTCTACTAAAAAATACAAAAAAACTAGCCGGGCGAGGTGGCGGGCGCCTGTAGTTCCAGCTACTCGGGAGGCTGAGGCAGGAGAATGGAGTAAACCCGGGAGGCTGAGCTTGCAGTGAGCTGAGATCCGGCCACTGCATTCCAGCCTGGGCGACAGAGCCAGACTCCATCTCAAAAAAAAAAAAAAAAAGAAAGAAAGAAACAGGAAAAGCAGCCATAAAGTTCACAGCCATAAGAGCCTGAACAAAACTATACCTAACTACCACTAACAGCATGCCCATCCTCCTGTGATAGGGCCTAAGAAAGACATCTGGCGCTTTTTCTTCTTTTGTCCTTCTGCTTTTTGGCTGTAGCCTGGTGGGGTGTAGCACTAACTCTCTTTAAACATCATTACTCAAATCCAATATTCTTTGAGGACTAAAGCTATTTTTTTAGCTTTCTAATATCAATTTTTTTTTCTCAAGAGAAAAAGGAATACATTAAGTTTTAAAATCTTCAAAACGACTCTTCACTATGAATGAAGAATATCAGATATAAGAGCCCCTTTACCTTTAAATCCAGCTGCTTCAGCTTGTTTATACATCCCAAGAAAGAAGTAGGTGCAAGCTAGGTTCACCCAGACTTCAGAATTACAATTTTCCTCTTTTGTAGCATTTTCGTATTCCTGAAATACATAGTAAGCAGTGATCTCGTTTTGGCAGCAAAGCAATTGATGGGCCATTCTTCCATAATGGAATAGGATTTCATACGGAGATTAAGTAACTTCACATTTAGGGAATCCTACATGTTCTGCAATTATTCTATACCTGAAAAGGTTAAATGCTGAAGCTACAGCTCAATCCTACATCTGCAGGGCTGTTGTCCATATAATCTTATACTTGTGGGTTTTGTCCCCCAATTAATACTGATAGGGACGAACAAACAATAGAAACAAAAAGCAACTGAAACATTTTATTTCTGCCAACTAAAAAAGACATACAAGATACCCTTTAAGAAATTCACATGTTCAGTTAACTTAAAATCTCATGGCTTTAATACACGACAAGTTTCATTTCATTCTAATTGCTTTCTGGCTTTTTTGGCATCGAGGGAGGCTTCATATTTTTAAAATGTTTTGTTTTTCAGGCCGGGCGCGGTGGCTCAAGCCTGTAATCCCAGCACTTTGGGAGGCCGAGATGGGCGGATCACGAGGTCAGGAGATGGAGACCATCCTGGCTAACACGGTGAAACCCCGTCTCTACTAAAAAATACAAAAAAAAAAAACTAGCCGGGCGAGGTGGCGGGCGCCTGTAGTCCCGGCTACTCGGGAGGCTGAGGCAGGAGAATGGCGGGAACCCGGGAGGCGGAGCTTGCAGTGAGCTGAGATCCGGCCACAGCACTCCAGCCTGGGTGACAGAGCGAGACTCCGTCTCAAAAAAAAAAAAAAAATGTTTTGTTTTTCCTGCCAAGAATACTCTCTGAGACTCACTTTGTCAACGACATTTTCCATATACTCTCACTTTTTATCAGTCTTTCCCAGGTGCCTTTATTTCATTTTCTTACTACATGTGGGTTGTTCTTTCTATCCTCCTATGCCTTTTACAAATACTGCCAGCCTCTATTCTGTCCTTTTCACATCTTCCCTTTCCCTTCACCAACTTTGTTCCTTTGTTCTGCATTTCGCCTCCTCATTACCTGTCCTCGAATATTTTCATTTTAGTTACGGGGGTTCTTCAAATTTGCTTAGATTACATCTTGAGAATGAGAATATGCAGGAAATGTGGCTGGGAGCGGTGGCTCACGCCTGTAATCCCAGCACTTTGGGAGACTGAGGCAGGCAGATCACGAGGTTAGGAGATCGAGACCATCCTGGCCAACATGGTGAAACCCCATCTCTACTAAAACTCACAAAAAAATTAGCCGGGCGTGGTGGCGCACACCTGTAGTCCCAGCTTCCCCGGGGGGGGGGGTGGCGGTGGTGGTATGAAGCAGGGGAATCGCTTGAACCCAGGAGGCAGAGCTTACGGTGAGCCGAGATCGTGCCACTGCACTCCAGCCTGGGCGACAGAGCAAGACTCCGTCTCAAAAAAAAAAAAAAAAAAAGAAAGTAAATCCATAATCCCACTGATTAACTATTATAGATGGGTAGGTAGATGGGTAGGATTTACAATGACCAAGAAAAACAATTTCCCCAAAACAATTCTACTTGTAGAAATATAAATATAATTGTTCCTATGTCTAAAAATAACCAAGCAAAGGAAAAGCGAAATTCTCTTGAGAGAAGACTCATGAAAGTTTTTATCATAATGGCTTAATTTTCCTGTTCTGAAGATTTACTTAATAAATGCTAATACCAATATGTTGTACAATCTCATTAGTATGCATGTAAAAGTACAAAGTACACAAGATACATGTACATATACAGTAGCCCTCCTTTACCCACAGGGGATATGTTTAAAGATCCCTAGTAGATGCCTGAAATCTTGGATAGTACTGAATCCTATATATACTATGTTTTTTTCCTATACATACACACCTATGATAAAGTTTAATTTATAAGTTAGGCACAATAAGAGATTAACACCAATAATGGATAATAGAACTATAACAATATATGGTAATAAAAGTTATGAGGATGTGGTCTCTTTTGCTCTCTCTCTCTCTCTCTGAAAATATCTTATTATACTGTCCTCATCTATTTTTAGACTGAGGTTGACCTCGGGTAACTCAGATTGACCTCGGGAAGCAAAACCATAGACAAGGGGAAACTACTGTAATAGAACATATTAACATATAGATGATTACTGAAGCCATAAATTTTTAAACAGTCAGTAGTTGCCTTCATTAACAAGTATAATTGAGGAATGCAAATAGATAACTTCTTTTTGTTTCCTTCTGCATTGTTTGAATTTTACCATGAACATGTATTATTATAATATAAAGTTTAATACCATTTTAAACACAGTTCTGTTTGGAAAAAAATTTTTTTACACTAACCTCCAGAGCTCTCTTGTAGTCACCCAGGTGAAAGGCACAATATCCAATCCACAAATTAGTATCCTCTTCTTCTTCTCCAACATGACGTTTGAACTTCAGGTTAAAAATGTATTTAAAAAGCATGAAAATTTGAATAGTAAACTCTCTGTTTAAAAAAAAATGCTATGTTGGGTTACTAACGAACAACAGGCAATCTTAAGTATTAGAAGCATGACAATATGAGGTTTAATTAAACCTATGCCTACAGGACAAGTATCTTCTAATTGTCACAGAAATTTATATTTTCAAATATTTCACATTTGGCTTTCTGTATTAACTGATATTATACTCCAGAAAGCATTTGAGTTGTCTAACAATTCTGGGTGATATATAAGGAAGAGAATTATGTAAAATATTTAGAGCCAAATAACTGAAGGTTAGAGAGGCTGAACCATGAACTCAAGGCCACATGGCCAGTATGTGTGCTGTCAGGGACTTAAAGAAATGCCTGACTCCAAAGCTCATGTTGTCACCCTCTGTGCTCTACTGCATTTAACCTCCTGCTTCAGTCCTATTGCATTAGCACACACATATATTTACTAATAGGTTGTAACCTTTCACTGAGGACTAGCCATTAAATCTTTCTATTACCCTTGAGCAGGCTAGCTTACCAGGTCTACAAGAGTTAAGGATGTTCAGAAGACTTGGCCTCACTTATGTCCATTGTGAACAAATATTTATGAATTCCTCAGCCAACAAAAGAAAAGCCTTATTTTGGAGGAAAGGACTGAGATCTTGACAGAGAATTCTGAATTTCCACGGTAAGATAAGATTTTTTTTTCACTCTACAGGGTGATAAATCAAATAGTGAGCCAACACATATTTACAGAGCATCACTATAGAACTTAAGGAGCCTCAGTCATTACAAGATGAAGACACCCCTTTGATACTTTCTTGTCTGGACTAAGAATTTACTCCTGTAGCTAACTCTACAACATTAGAAATCCTCCTCATACCAAATGCTATGAATTTGAGTATAGTGCCTTAATTCTGGAGATATTCTCATGTGAGGTCTCCCTGAATTCCCTGGAGCTACAGGAAAGCGCATGAGACTTCCTCACCCCAAACCATAGCAGTTTCCATTCCCATGCAGCATGGTACTCCAACTAACTACCTAAGAATGTAAGCAAAGAGCAGAGCCTCCCTGCCAACTTAAAGGCAGTCTGGCCCTGTAGTCCCAGCATTTTGGGAGGCCAGAAGCAGGAGCATCCCTTGAGCCCAGGAGTTCAAGACCAGCCTAGGCAACATGGTGAGACCCCCATCTCTACACACACACACAAATAGCCAATCAAATGAAAATTAGCCAGGCATCATGGCACATGCCTGTAGTCTCAGCTACTTGGGAGGCTGAGGTGGAAGACTCGTGTGAGCCCTGGGAGGTTGAGGCTCCAGTGAGCCACCATCATGCCACTGCATTCCAGCCTGGGCGACAGAATGAGACCCTGTCTCAAAAATAAAATAAAATAAAGGCAACCTGGTGTTATACAATAAGGAAAATATGGTCACTGTCTTAGAGAAAAAAGAGAGAAACAGACTGATGGAAATAGATATATAGCACTCAGTCCACTGATTCACAGAACTAGAAGGTTCCTCCATGCCAACTCCCCCACTGCAAAGATGAGAAGGCTGATGCCTAAAAAGCTAAACAACATGTTCAATACCAGAGCACTTAGTAAGAAGGTGAACTAGGCCAGGCGCAGTGGCTCACGCCTGTAATCCCAGCACTTTGGGAGGCTGAGGCAGGTGGATCACCTGAGCACAGGAGTTTGAGACAAGCCTGGCCAACATGGTGAAACACTATCTCTACTAAAAATACAAAAGATTAGCTGGGTGTGGTGGCAGGCGTCTGTAATCCCAGCTACTCAGGAGGCTGAGGCAGGAGAATTGCTTGAACCAGGGAGGTGCAGGCTGCAGTGAGCTGAGATTGCACCATTGCACTCTAGTCTGGGTGACAAGAGTGAAAGTCCATCTCAAAAAAAGAAAAAAGAGAAAAAACAAGAAAGTGAACTATACATGGAAGATGGAGAAATACATGTAAACCTAATTATAACAATTATTAACAGTAGATTCAGAGTAATATGGATGGAGTAGCATTTTAAAAGAAATGACTAGGCCGGGCGCGGTGGCTCAAGCCTGTAATCCCAGCACTTTGGGAGGCCGAGATGGGCAGATCACGAGGTCAGGAGATCGAGACCATCCTGGCTAACACGGTGAAACCCCATCTCTACTAAAAACGCAAAAAATGAGCCGGGCGTGGTGGCGGGCGCCTGTAGTCCCAGCTACTCGGGAGGCTGAGGCAGGAGAATGGCGGGAACCCGGGAGGCGGAGCTTGCAGTGAGCTGAAATCCGGCCACTGCACTCTAGCCTGGGCACAGAGCGAGACTCCGTCTCAAAAAAAAAAAAAAAAAAGAAAAAAAAAAAAGAGAAATGACTGTGGCACAACACAACCAGACCATGCTGTCAGAACTCTTCATTCTTTGGTGCAACGCTTCACCCTCCTGTAACATGTGCTTCCCACAAAGCAGTTTTTCAAAGCGCAGTCTCCTGGGACCATCTCCATCAGGCACTTAGACTACTCACCTGAAAATGCAGATTCCTGAGCACCACTGCAGACCTACAGCAGGAGCCCAGGAATCAATATCTTATTAAGTACCCTAGGTAATTCCAATATATATTAAAAGGTGAGAACTACTGCCATGGAGATTTGAAATATTTTCTGGGGCTATAATATTTTCAACCATAAACATGTTAGAATTATTTAAATTTGATCAAAATTTCAGAACACATAATAGGAAAAAAATCATACATTGGTCAAGGGTTGGGATAAGCAATGTGTGAAATGACATTGTATTAAATGTCCCTTCACATTTTTAGATTGTAATCACCATTAGTAAACTAGACATACTCAAAAGTGGCCCTCAAGAAATTAGGTTTTTGTTTGTTTGTTTGTTTTTTGAGATACAGTCTTGCTTTGTACTCAGGCTGGAGTGCAGTGCAATGATCTTGGCTCACTGCAACCTCCACCTTCCAGGTTCCAGCAATTCTCCAGCCTCAGCCCCCCGAGAAGCTGGGACGACAGGTGCGTGCCACCATGCCCAGTTAATTTTTGTATTTTTAAGAGACGGGGTTTCATCATGTTGGCCACGATGGTCTTGATCTCTTGACCCCATGATCCGCCTGCTGGCCTCCCGAAGTGCTGGGATTACAGGTGTGAGCCATTGCGCCCAGCCAAATTTAGTTTTTTAGTTCATTTTTTATCAGGTTTATAGTTAACTTAGAATCCGGAATCTGTGCCTGACTAGATTTACAGGGGATTTGTACAGGAAGCCCCAGAATGCACGCACCTATTACAACAGCAGAGCAACCAGCATTCTCACCTAATCATTCATCTACAGTCTGGTATTCACATGCTAAGAAGCAACGTTCTTTGGGCATTACCTCCAATAGGGTAATAGCTCCAGTGAAATCTCTTTTTGAAAGTAGCTCCTCTAGTTTTGGAATCTTCCTACCTTTCTTCTTTTTTTTGTCAGTGGGCTGTACGCCTCTGCCTACAGCAGGTTTGGCCCTTGAAAGCATCTGTAAAAGAAACAAAGACAGCTGTATGGTCCAATTCTGATTATCAGATTTAAACTGAGAGTGGCAGCTCTATAGTTTAAAAGTCAAGGCTGGGCACAGTGGCTCACGCCTGTAATCCCAGTACTTTGGGAGGCCAAGGCGGGCGGATCATGAGGTCAGGAGTTCGAGACCAGCCTGGTCAACATGGTGACACCACGTCTCTACTAAAAATGCAAAAATTAGCCGGGCATGGTGGCAGGTGCCTGTAGTCCCAGCTGCTCGGGAGGCTGAGGCAGAAGAACGCTTGAACCTGAAGGCGGAGTTTGCTGTGAGCTGAGATCACGCCACTGCACTCCAGCCTGGGCAACAGAGCGAGACTCCGTCTCAAAAAAAAAAAAAAAAAAAGTTATAAGTCAAATCCTTAACAACGAACCCCAGGGAAGCCTATTCACACTTGCTTTGTAACAGGTATTCTAGTAGAAGAGCCATCACCCAATACTTAGGAAGGACCAGACAGCTACTCCCAACTTTATCTTCACTGGCTAGAGATGCTTTCGCACAGCTTCTGTCATCTCAGCTTTCCCTTCCTCTGCTTCCCATCCCACGAGTGGTTTAGATGTGGGTAAATGGAGAAGCAGGAGGGAAGAAAGCATCGAGGTATCTACAGTTGCATCCCTGTCCCCCGTGGGAACACAGGGAGAGCTGGGGATTACCCTCTGCGGACACACCTAGACTTTACACAGAAGTGTGCTGGGAACCTCGAATCGCCAGCCTCAGGACCTACTCAAAGTAATCCCTCACTATTCAGAGCCACTAACCATCTTGACGTCGGTCTTGTGAGTCCCCTCCAGACAGCAAAGGCCGGGCCTCAGCGTTTCGCCGCATCCACACAGGACGCTCTGTCTCCACGGCAACCCCGCCGCGAGGCTGGTACGTCGGGGAGAAAAGCTCGTTGGAGAACCAGCGCCCTCGGCTTCTTGGTTCCGTGCAGCTTCTGCCGCGGAAGAGCAGCGGTTCCTCTTGGGAGGAGAGCGTCGTTCTCTGTGCTGAGAGCGAAAGTTTGGTTGTGTCTCTATTTATGAGTTTACTTTAGGAAAAGGCGAATTGGAATGGCATTGTTTTTCAAATGCAAGTTTTCTGGGAAGGAAATTTTCAGGGACCACTTCCGTTTTGGGCCGCGTTGGACTCCATAGCAACCCTTGGCTGCGTGCACCGCAGAATCTTGGTCTCTGGCTGGTGCGGGAAGCTTAGAAAATTTCTGCTGAAGGAGTTGTAGTTCTGTGATTTGGAGGCAGGAGTGCATCAAAATACAGTTTCCTATTTCCACAGATACATCTACACACAATAGAGAACTGTAATAAATATTTGTCGATTGGATGACTTAATTTATCTATCTTACTCCGGAACCCAGTTAATGCAGGGGCAACCATAATCTTTAAATTCACGAAATCGTGAAATGTTAGAGTTGGAAGAGACCTTACAGGACCTCTGGTCAACCCCTCAGAATTAACAGACTGAAGAACTAACATCTTGTTAGTTAACTAATGTCAGCCTAAAAAGCTCAGGGATCCAATTGAAAGAGTTTATTCAAGTGCAAAGTGTGAGGGCGGCTATCCCGGGAACCACAGACAGCAAAGAATGGTGATCCGTGCTCCCTGATGTAGGGAACGGTGAGGGTCGTTTATATCGCCAAAAACAGGGGTGCTGTACATAATTACAGCATTTTCTAGATGAGGCTAACGTACACAGAAGATTCAATTCACTACTATTGATTATACTCTAAGGGGGATGTTTAATATTCTATTGTAAAGAGGTAACAATCACAAGGGTCTCTATCTCCAACGTCATTTAGTCTGAATAAAAAATAAAAAATCTGGTTAATATATAACATCAACACAAAGATCAGGAAGCAACAGTCATGCACCAGAGAAGAAAAACAGCCATGTTCTGTGATTTAGTTTACAGGGCTTAACGTTTCCCCTTGGCATAATATGTTTGGAAGGTGCTGAAATTTTCTTTTCACATTTTCCCTTTTCTTCAAAAGCTTTCGGAGAAAGCATTATAGAAGAATTATATTCTCAGGCCGTGTATTTGATCAAACCTCATGTCACTAGGAAGGCTCCTTCCTGGCAGTCACATCCCAAGGAGGAGGGGAAATTGGAAAGGACCAAGTCCGAATTATAAAGCAACAAGAGAAAGTAGTTCTGGAACCTGATTCAGGCTACATGGCTGCCTCTTCAAACAAACAATTATCTGAGTAGTCTTTGTTCTAATTTTCTCAGCTGTGTGTTGACCCAATTGCAGTTAAATACCATAACAGCTCTGTAGACAAAGGCAAGACAAAACACAAACTATGATAATTCCTAAAATACATAACAGCTTTTGCCACCAAGGTCCCCAAGATCCAAATCAACTACTTAACTGGTAGCTTAGAGAGGGTTTTGGATCCGAAAGGTTAATTATTAGAGTTTTTCAAATCAGTCATTACTTTGGTAACATTATTTGATTCATCTGGGATATAAACACAGCATTCAGTTTCTGTCATAGCACAGGTTCCTCCTTGGGCTGCAGTATGTCTAAGACCATACAATTTTGTAATACAGTCTTCTCAAGAGAGTAACTTTATTATTTAACAATGAGACATTCATGTGGCTGTCATTTAGGGCCTTTTGTGTGTAATTGGTTAGGACCTCTATATGGTGAATGACATCTTCAATACCCAGTTGTGGTACAAAGACAGAAGTGAATCTAAGTGGCTTCTGGAAGGTAAGCACTTTCTATTTCTTCTGTTAAAGACACTATTGTGTAAACCTTTACAGTAAGTTCCAGATTCATCCTTTAAATGACATCCATCTGTAAACCGAACAACATCAGCCTAAGTAAGAAAAGTCTCTTGCAGATCAGTCCTAGGAGAAAAAAAGTTTATCAGTTAGAGTTATGCAATTATGTGGTGTTTCATCTGAAAGTGAAGGAAAAAGAGTTGCAATATTTAGCTTATTACATCCAGAGATGGTCACATGATAAGCTAAAAGAAGTGAAACTTCCTATGAAGCTAGTCTACTCATTGAATAATGTTAAGTGTGTTGTGAGTTTAGCAATGCTTCCACAGAATGAGGGATGAAATCAGTAAGGGGAGTTTCTTTTCTCCCAGAGTGTTATTAAGGAGAAAAGGAAAGGCCCTTTTAAGTTCGATGGAGCACCCCCATTTTTTATTTTCTGCCTCCACCTGTTGTTCTTTCCTTTTTAGTTTTTGGCAGTTCTTTTTAATGTGATCAGGCTTTTTGAATTAATTGAAAGCGTATGGTTAGGTCTACTTGGGGGTTTATAAGGATATTTTGAAGGTCCAAATTGTGTGGACATTTGTTTCCACTGTAAATTCATAATTTTATTAGCCTTGCTCTTTTGTTTGGCCTCCTTCTCAGTTTCATCTTCAGTTATGAGACAACTGGTCAGCAAGACTGACCAAATTATGAGTTTGAGAAGTGGCCCAGCGAGAGTTTTGTCTTTTCACTATTAGTGCTAATTCTTCATCTAACCCATTTATAAAACTGGAGTTGAGAAGGGTATCATTTTGATTATTAGCGTAGCTTTCTTCAGATAAACCCAAATATTGTTTAAGTTTACTCAAACCCTCAAAATATGGTATTACTGACTCATCTGGATTTTGTTGACCTTGTTGTATTTTACTACAGTCTACTACTCTTTGAAACAGTGAGGAGTGGCTTGAAGCAAAGCCTTTGCAGTTTTGTGTGTCTGCCTACAGTCCTGAGCATTTATGAAAGTCTTCTAAGAGATTTCTTTTTTCTTTTTTTTTTTTTTTTTTTTTGAGACAGAGTCTCGCTCTGTCGCCCAGACTGGAGTGCAGTGGCACAATCTCGGCTCACTGCAACCTCTGCCTCCCGGGTTCATGCCATTCTCCTACCTCAGCCTCCCGAGTACCTGGGACTACAGGCGCCCGCCACCACACCCGGCTAATTTTTTTTTGTATTTGTAGTAGAGACGGGGTTTCACCGTGTTAGCCAGGATTGTCTTGATCTCCTGATCTCATGATACGCCCACCTCAGCCTCCCAAAGTGCTGGGATTACAGGAGTGAACCACCTCACCTGGCCTTCTAAGAGAGTTCTATAATGGGCCTTGTCTGTCTAATCTTTAGCTTTACTTTCTGATGGTCACATGTGAGTTAGTTGATATAAATCAGAATAACCAGGGCCATAAGCTCAGATATTTAATTCAAATTCTCTAGCAAAACCAATAGGATCCTGGTGAGGGTCGGGGAATAATTTACTATGCCTTTAAGTTCTACCTTAGACCATGGTTGATAAACTAAAGCAGGTTTCCCTCTACCAGATACTGGATGTTCATGAAATGAAGCCAAAAAAGTGGGAGCAGGTGGAAGGGGAGGAGAAGGAAGAGAAGGTCAGTCTGGGCAAGGTAGTTCTGATAAGGAGGGATAGAGAGAAGGGGGAGCAGGAGGAGGAGAAGCAGCAGTTTCAGCAGCTTTTCTGAATTAAAGTTTTAGAGAGCTTTTCATTTGCTTTCTATAGGAAAAGAACTCTGTCACAGCAGCTTTTGCATGCTTCTGGGTAGCATTGGAAATAACTCTCCAAATTATATTATTTAATTCTAGAGCTGGCTTTTTCTAATTGTGCATGTGAGCAAACTAACTTAGGCATTTCACAAGTACCCCACTTTGGCCATTGTAATTCAGCATCTTCCTGTGTCAAATAAGACCATTTTTCCCAATACTGACAGGAGGTGGCAGGTGCGATGACTCACACCTGCAATCTCAGCACTTTGGGAGGCTGAGGCAGGAGGATCACTTGAGCTCAGGAGTACGTAGAGTGTCTCTACAAAAACTCAAAAAATTAGCCCAGCATGGGGGTGTGCGTGTGGTGCCAGCTACTTGGAAGGCTGAGGTGGGAGGATTGCTTGAGCCCCAGAGGTGGTGGTTGCAGTAAGCCAAGATTGTACTATTGCACTCCATCCTGGGTGATAGAGCAAGACCCTGCCTCATAAAACAGACACACATACACCCATATTTATGTATGTAGGGTGTGTGTGTATATATGTATATATATATATGTGTATATATATAGACAGGAGGTGGCACCATAAGTCTTGTACATAAATTTAGCTGGAGTTTCTAAAAGTGGGTCCTCCCTTAAAGAGGACTTTGTTTTAAATGAACAGTTGACCATAATTTGTATCCTCTTTTAAACTGACCAAAGATTGAAAGGGAAAGATGTTTTGGGTCTAGTGTGCTGCTTAATAGTGATTACTCCTCAAGGTTTCACCCATGAGTCACCTCTCCCCTCTTATGTGTCCCAACGAAACCCAGAAATTTCTGGGAGTTTAAGGCACCGGTAGCCCAATTCCTTATGTGTGCCCACCGGGCAGATTTCCTTGCATATTCTTCTTTGAGATTTCCCTAGAGCATAGTTACACATCCCAAGCTATGAACTCTGACATCCTTACATGACCTCAATCACCTAAGGTGCTTTTCTTCTGGGAGGAACAAGGTCTTTTGCATTTGGGACTTACGTCCTCATATGAACCCTTTTGTGAATTTTTGGTCACTCAAGAAGAAAACTTAAATGTCAATTTTTTTTTTTTTTTTTTTTTTTTTTTTTTTTTTTGAGACGGAGTCTCGCTCTGTCGCCCAGGCTGGAGTGCAGCGGCGCGATCTCAGCTCACTGCAAGCTCCGCCTCCCGGGTTCACGCCATTCTCCTGCCTCAGCCTCCCGAGTAGCTGGGACTACAGGCGCCCACAACCGCGCCCGGCTAATTTTTTGTATTTTTAGTAGAGACGGGGTTTCACCCTGGTCTCGATCTCCTGACCTTGTGATCCGCCCGCCTCGGCCTCCCAAAGTGCTGGGATTACAGGCGTGAGCCACCGCGCCCGGCCTTAAATGTCAATTTTAACTGAGCTCCAAAACCTGGG